ATGCCATTTTATTTTTTCTTGAACATAAAAAATTGACTGTCAATTGTGAATCAATTGCATTATAATCACGATACCGTCGTGTTTTTCGTCGATTTTATAATTACGAAATACGATATGGCAATTTGCTTTTTGCACGTCGATTGCACGTATAATAACAAGGCTCGTGGGACGATGTTTATGAAGTTGAAAAGCACGGAGGCAATACGTCGATCAGACCCGAGTCCAGCAGCAGCGTTTAACGATAGCTGCTGCTGGATTACCTCTCGCCGCAGTGTAATAATTAAAGGTGCCAAGTGAAAGGTTAAACTCTCCACATGCACGATTATCGATCGTGTCTGCTTTCCAGCTGTGAAAAACGAGGAATTCATTTTCGTCATGCTCGAGTGCAGAATGTTCGAATATCTTTTTGTGCCCGCTGCTTTGATTCCGATAAATGACGAAATGGGAATTGGATTTGTCGTCCCGTTAACAAAGGCATTAATTAACGTCCATGGGGATGTATTAGCTCGAAAGTCGGAAACAGTTGAGGGGAAATGGCGACAATTAGAAAATGGAAAACTAAAAGGTCGTACCGGGAATGATCTCAGTCAGCCTGTTTCAGACGGACGAGTCGGGAGGAATTTTTATAGTCGGCTGTGTGTCTCCACCCTCTCATCTGTCGCGCTGTCATTACTGTCATCGTTCTCTTTGCGGATGGTTTTTTAATCAAGAGTTCGAGGGACGAGGAATTAAAGGTGGCGTAAAGTTTAAAGGTTGAACCCGTTGCCCTTAGAAATTTCATTATTTCAGCCGTAAATGTGTGTTGCAAAAATGACAAGGTTCAAGCCAAAATTCTCCAGATGAAACGAAAAAATATTTAAGAGCTTGTTTATTAAATACAGAATGTTGGTAGAAAGAGTAAACGATGGACGAGTGTAGTTTCGATTATTTTCCATTCTTAACTCTCGAATAACCCTTTCTAATTATTTTAACGCTTTATGTCATTGCACTGTGACTATGTTCTGAAATCGTATGTGAATTTTTAAATATCCTTCCCGTGTGATAATTAACGTTTCACAATTCAACGATCAAAAGATTTCATAAAAAAGAAATTTATTGAAATTAGAGTTTAATTGAACGAACGAAAATTCACAGAAGGACCGACTGTTCCGTTATCTGAAAATTTCGAAATACTCGTGTCTCGCTCAAGTCGTTCCTGATTAATTCAAATATTAGAGACTTGTTTGTTTGTTAATCTGGTTTCAGTATCTTCTTCACGAACGTGTTAACTTTTTTTTTTTTATTGAAAAAAAGAAGAGTCCATTTCTGAGAAGGATCAAGGATTTTTATCTCAACATTAAACAATAATCAAGAAACTCCATTTCACATTGCACGTCGTAATGAAATCACTTACCACCTGTCGCGAAAATTTCTCGCAGCGTCCCGATGGATATTTCTTTTTCAAACAGTTTCAAACTGCCTAAGCCCGATATCGTCTTGAGACGAAGTTTGAAGAACTCGTAAAAGATGAGTTGAACGTCTTCGAAGAATCTCAATTAAAAATTCGAATGCCGAGAGATGTTGTTGGAAAGTTGTTGTACGACGGTGTCAAGGGTTGGGATCCGTAGCCGTCTGCGAGTATTTCGAACTCGCGGAGATGCTGCGTGCAACGTGGAACGGAGTTTCGCACGCAAAAGGAATGAATTTCTCGAGCTTAAGAAGCAAGTCGGAAAATTCTCTGGCCAGACGCCAGGGATCTTCTGTCACTGGCATGCACACTTCGCCAATTTAACAAACTGCCACCCGTCTGCAATCACCCCTCTTGCTGGTCCTCCTGCAAATTCATAGTCGTCAAGCGACTTTTCCCAGCCATGTTAAAACGTCGTGCGCTCGGGAGAAAAAAATTCACGTCTGCTTTGTAAGCGAATCCAACGACTTCCATTCTTTCTCTTTTGGCGAGCAGGATATTCATTGAAATGTACGAAAATGCCATCTTCGAAGAAACTTTGACGTTTTTTTTTTCTTTCTTGCACCTCTCCACGTTTTTGTTCCACGTTTCAATCACGTCGCAACATCAGCAGTGAGAGTTTTCTTCATTTCCTTCCGAGATGAGAAGAACACGATCTGACCTATCTGGCCGTGTAAAATCAAAGGTTTTACAGGTCGTGGTAGCTCTTTGAATCGTTACATCTCTAATTCTCTTCTATTGTGAAAAGAAAAATCCTCCAATTGTTGTCAAAGCTAACAGATACTATTGTTTATTTATACCATCGCACAAGCGAACTAACAGTTTCATTCAACTCTGCTATATCTTCGGTTTCATTTATTTTTTCAGTGCAAAATATTTTTCAAGAGACATTTTTCAGAAAGGTATTTTACACGTATTAAAACAAACGCTTCTGGCTGAACCTCTGGCCTTTATACGTAATTTGAAACTTGTTATTTAATATCAGTAGAGACGTAAATTAGCAAAATTTCACCGTGTTGCATCGTAATTCAAGAAACTGAAAGGTTAAGGTTTGCTTCGCGTTCTATCCTTTTCTATTTCTTTCGAGTATACTAAGCACCCTCTATATTCGAACTTTCTCTAGTCCCTTTAGTTTCTAGCTTCTAGTTCCTTAAGGATAGTTTCTTTTTTTTTTTTTTTTCTTTCCGTCCGAACGACCGTTATCACGAAGAGTAGAAAACCGAGAGGAGGACCGTTTAGTGTGAGAATTTGATCCAGTGGCAGATTAGCTCGATGACCTTAAATGCGTTTAAATTGCAAGATTAACCGGCAGTAGCGATTAGCGGTAAAGATTTAACCTTGCTCCATTCCTGAATGTACATTAATTCTATCGCGTTCGTTCCAGTACACAGACGATACTTCTTAAAATTAAAGGTGTTTCATTCCGTTTCCGCCATTTTCTACCTGAGTGCAGATTTCAGTGTGTCAAGACTCGTGAATTTCACCGCAGCGTGCAACTGGTTGCAACCGAAGTCGTGAAAAAGAAAAACAAAGGTATTAGTCTGCACATACTAAAAATAAGAGGCTTATCGTACGACAATTGTCACAACCACGTGAATAAATTCATGGTACAATGCATGGTAAATACGTAACGCAGGTAGAACGCTGATATCAATAGACAAGTACGTACGTATCAGCTTCGCAGAATATAATCGGATTACACTAGTTTATACGAGACAATATACACTCGTATTGTTCGTCATCGCATTCGACTTTGTCTCCTGCATTTCTCTTATTGGCGTTGGCGAACGATCATCGGCAGTGTCTTCCGATCGTCCGCGTTGCAAAGGTCCACTCTCTCTCTCTCTCTCTCTCGGTGGCAAGTTTGACGCGAGATTAAGCGACGCGCTGGGGCGTTAATCAAATTTCAATTTCCATCGGCCGTCACGTCGGCGCGAGAGAGCTCGTTTGTCGATTTCGTCGAAATTAATAGGCTGCGTGACGTAGAAGGCTGATAGAGGAGACCAGCGTAATAGTAGTCTAAACGGCGGCGGCACGAAGGTTAGTAGCGCGTCGTTTATCCAAGACCAGCGTCGTTTGTCCTCATTTTTTTTTTCGAGAACGTGCGTGAACTATCGCGTCGCGAGCGTCCCCGATCGAACCGAATTGACGAAATCATTTTTCATTTTATTCGAACTGAAAATGTTGCTTGAAATAATTTCAATTTCCTCTTTATACGTAGCTCGTAACATTTCAAATACGAGACGACAGTTCTTCAATATCTCATCACTTGCAAATGCACGGTCGCGTTCTTTCGGACAATGTCGCATTAACGTTTACAGATGTTCGCGTGATCTACACGCCTGTTTATGCGCATTCTTTCATTGACGCCTACGTTCTAACGTCGGTGTCAGTGTCGTGGATGACATCATTATCAGGCGAAATTAAGCAGATATTCAAAGAACGGCCAAGTAAGAAGAGGAATTCAATTTAATTCGAAACACGAGGAGTGTGAATTATATCAACAGTGCTTCCCTCGTATCAACCCTTGTCGCGCATTCCTTGCTGGCAGCGCTTAAATGATGTTCGGCTACCTGTTGCCACCTTTTCTTTCTTTTCACCGAGTCCTCCGATAATATTTACGCATTCGCACGTTCAGACAGCGCTCTCTCGAGAGCGCACCTACACGAAAAGGGGGGGGGGGGCGCATTCATGCACGCGTCTTTCAATTGGCCTCGTTGCCACTCTCTCGTTTCACACCCCTCGCGCTTACGTGATACCGCACTTAAATCGAGATTAAAAGCCAACGCGTAAGTACAAAGACCGGCCTCCACGTGAACGCCCACATGAACTTCTTCCGGGTTCTGACGCGTCGCGAGGGAAATTTTCATCAATGATAATAAAAATAGTCGGGGCACGCTTATATAATAAATACAGTTAAAAAAAAAAAAAAGAAATACTTTAAGTATCAGCCAGCTCTGTATATTCTGTAATGCTGTAATGCATTTAGAAGCACTCGTTAGATACAATACGAGACGTCGAAGAAAGATAATCCTGCGGAATTTTAAGAAAGCAAGCTTGTAATCCGTTGGTGCAGAAAGATTGGGAAAAGAGATGAGTCGTGAATATGAATATAAATAAAAATGAAAATAAAAATAGTAGTAATATAATAAATATAATGTAATACACTGTATTAATTATATTAATAAATAATAAATAAATAAAAAGTAATATAATGTATTATTAATTAATAATTAATATTAATATAATTATAATTATAATATATTATATTAATAATTAATATATTATTAATAATATATAATAATAAATGTAAAAAAATTATGTGAATATGAATAATATTAATATATTATTAATTAAATATAATATTAATGTTAATATTTATTAATATATTTAATTATAATATTATTATTAATTAATATAATTTAATATTAATGATATTAATATATTATTAATTAATAATATGTAATAATAAATGTAAAAAAATTATGTGAATATGAATAAGCGTTAGATTCAGATGAGAAAGTAACGAGGGTAATCGTTGTGTTTGTTTCAGCGGCGTGAAGGCAAAGTGGAGGCTGAGATTAGAAGTAATAGCGTGGTTAACAGGTGGAAAAGGGTTGAAGTTCGCGGAATACCACCACGCGTCACGCAGGGGTGGTGGGTCTATGGGGGGCTCCGCCCCAGCGGCCCCCCGGCTCCAGTCCAAACGGAAACTGCCGGAACGGCGCTATCCTGGCAAGGTCCAAGACCGCTCCGCTTCCGGTACCACCGTCAAAACGGATGAAGAGCCCCTCCAACATCATGAGGCAGTCTAGCCTCACCAAGCTTGGCTCCATGATCAATACCGCTGTGAACAAGAGAGTCGGTGAGTTCTACTTTCTCGTTTTTTCGTTTCTCCCCTGCCCTCTCCGCCTCTCTCCTCTTTCTTCTCTTTCACATTGTGCTCTGTTAATTCGCCGAATCTGTGAAATGTTTGCGCGACGGCCGGCAATTTGTCCCTTTGAATTGAAAGGAAAATATGGCCACGAGACGGTGTAACAAAACGACGAAATGGATAATCCAGAAATATAATCGTCTCTTTATTACTAGAGTAGTTAATGCGGTTGATGTTGATGAACTACAATTGAAACTTTCTGTAACGCGCAAACTTCAACACGATTCGTTGTCCCGACTCGTCGTATGGGCTTATTTTCACAAAAGCCGCTCAAATGTATTTAACAATACGAACGTTATGGCAGTTCGCATGTCAACAGATGTTTTTCACACACAAACGCACGAACGGTGATAATTGGAGCATCGTTTACATTTAGCGGTCAGTTAGTAAACGCGATGTCGCTCAACAACAGTATGATCGTTCAAAACAACGGTCTTCAAGAATCGTCAGCGAAGATCAGTTCGTTTTCGCGAAATCACGTCCGAATCAAACGGACCAACCTCGATTTAATAAGACTCGACGAGAATCGTAGAAACACCGAGACTAGTGAGTAGAAAGAATATTTGTAACTAGTACAATGTTACGAGTTTCGAAAACGGCACGTTGAACCGGTTGTTGATGCAACACTCCGTTTTCCGGCGAAAGTAAAAAGAGTGCATGAAACTTGAACGATGTTGGCCGTACAAACGGTACGATCGATTTTCCATGGATGTGGAAAAAATTCGAAGCATGTGAGCTTAAAGGCGAACACGCTCTAGGTGGTCCAACGATCTATATTGAATACCAGCGGATTTTTAACGCATTCGAGCGTGAACTTATCGCCCAATCGAAGCTTATAAATTTCACAAAAATATATGTACCCGTCAGGATTGAGCGAATTCTAGAACGAAGATAGGAAATAACGGTTTGAAATAATGAATCTCTTCGATTACTTTATCACCCGGTGTGAGAAATAATGTCGAGTCAATAATGCGGAATTATTTTCATTTCAATTGTCTTTGACCAAGATGTGTTCAACTGGGATAAATATTGCTTTTAGCTATTTCTTGTTGACATATATTTTTTTTATTGACATCATCGTTACAAACTATAGTGCCCGGATATCGTTGAACGGTAATGCGTGCGCGCGCGCGCGCGTGTGTGTGTGTGAAAAAAAAATTTTTCTTCGCGAGGACTCGTGATGTCTACTTTTTTTTACGTTTGCTTTTTCAAAAACACTTGCACCTGATTCATGGCAAATATCATGCCAGCTCAAGCTTGTTAGAGCTCGTTACGAACTCATCAACATCCTCCTTCTAACACGTTCGACAACGAGAGTTTCGAGCTTATGCACTTTCGTACCAGTTCGAGACAGTCGTCTCATTCGCAAACGTTCGTGCGTAACAAACGTTTATTTGTTTCATCTGTTCGAGCCTCGGCTAACTGTTAGAACCAACAAATAATTTCAAGATCGATTGTTCATCGATATAGTAAATGAGATGACTTTTGTGTTTTACGTTTTCGATTATTGGCCGTAATCGAAATTAAAAATTCATCGTATGATTCCTCGTGCGGCACGTACATCGTGATTCGACTTTCAATTCTTCACTTTGAGATACCGGTTCGGTACTACGCCCGAAGCTTCCCCTTGCTCGCCTGCGCTGTCGCAATCTTAACTTTGAATTACAAATTTCTACGAGCAAAGTGAGAAACACCAGCACTTGAAGCGAGTTCATAAATTTACAATATGACTGGCAAACTAGTGTCGTCGTGTCTGCGATTAATGTTTGACAAGTATTGTTCCTTTTTACCTAACGAAATAACTCATTTTAAATTAACGAGCAAGAGAAAGATATATACCGTGCTTTCGACATGAAATTTTAAACTTAAAATGCTTGACGATCGATGTACTACGGGGAAGAAGAGTATTAATATTCGAGCCAGGATGAACGTTAGAACCATATCGAGAATGTATCGACGAGATTTACTAAAGCAAATCATAATCAATTCTATGCTTTCGTATGCATCGAAAATGTATGACGTGTTTCAACTCTGAAAGCCCACGTGCCTCCGTGTGTCCGAAGTACTTTGAGGTTTCATTATTGAAATCGAAAAATAGGAAGGAAGTCTCTCTCTCTCTCTCTATATAGAAGCTTATTCTGGCTTTGCTAAAAATGGACTGGTCGATGTCAGATATTCGCTCAGCCAGGAATTTTGCACATTTATCCAGGGATGTGCCTATGTTTTCTTCTTTGGAAGAAGTACATGAGAAACTATCGGAACTTTTAGGTAATTTCTTCTTGTTATATTGTTAATTGGCATTTTCATTCGAGTTCGACAATTTTCGTTTTGATAGCGACAGGTATATTTCTACTATCGTGTTGCGAAAGCTATTTCGTTTAAAAAAACAATTAGAGAATCAACAGACTACGACTCGCGCGACATTCGATTTTGTTTTTCTTTTTTTTTTTTTTTTTTTATGAAGAAAAAGCAAGTTCTTAAAGAAATTTTCAAAATGTAGTTTGAATTTTGCGCGACGCAGATGGCGCTGTTTGATCGGTAGCGCTCGGTAGTTTCCGTAGTAATTCGTACGCAATCGGTTTTCGCAATCAAGATGGCGATTATTGTCGAGGTAGCGAAACCCGACTGTGGTGTGACGTCACGCCATAGTAGTGTTGTGCGGTTATGCGTTCGTGAATTCCGCCATTGAAAGTTAGTGATCGGGTTCATATTAGTGGCGGATTAGTACGGACGAATATGTGACAGGCTAAAAGATCGAGCAAAGTGTGGTGAACAATCCGTGAAGGTTTCCTGATTCCTGGTCGCCGGCGTGGCGCGCCGCGCGCGCGTATCTCTGGTCGAGTAGGCGGTATTGGACCTCGCACCGGGAGTAAGCTCGTGTGCGAACGGCCTCTCTGGTTGCGTAGTGTCTCGTATTGCGAGATGGCCGGTAAGTAAGCGTCGTGGACGCCGGTTTACTCTGCGTGGTCGCTCTATATTTCCACGACACGTCGTGAAACCGAACACACAGTGCGTCGGTCGCTCCTGCTGGCCGCCTCGCCGCGCCGCGGCAACCTGAACCTTGACCCAGATACTATCACGGGTTCACGGGTATATCCGCAGCGCTCGCAGTGCACGCAACATTCTTCTTCGTCAATTCCGCATCCTCAAATATAATCACCCGTACCCACTCTCTGGATTCTTGCCGTGTGCGGGGCCAAATGCGCCCGTCGCCGGCGACGGCAGCGGCGGCGGCGGTGGCGACGGCCTAGAAGCACGATGGATTGCGCCGAAACTTCAAGTAGGATTACTTTTACCTGTTTTTTTTTCTTCCTCCCCTCTCCCCGAGTTTTCTTTCTCTCATTTGCCGCTTGCTTTTTCCTCGCTCGCCTCTATCTCTGTGCATATGCTCGCGTCCATCTCCCCTTTCTATGATAACTTAACACTTTCGTCTCACCTTGAGACACTATCGCTTCGCTCACGTCCCTCCACGTTTGTTTTATCAGGTTTCACAGTTCGCAACTCTCTCTCTCTCTCTCTCTCTTTCGATGCAATTTGTTTTTTCTATTCATTTCTTCCTGCTTCCTTGTCCTCGTTGACGTTATCAATTCGCTCCGTTTTTCTTTGCATCGATTCGATCGTGCGTATCGATATAATTGGAAAGAACCGCGTATGTTTGTCGAATGTACCTCTACGCGTCTTTTCACCATTGTACATCTACCTGTTTCACAGTCGCATGATGTAATTCAAATGATAAGCATTATGGGATGTTTATTTATTTCGTAATACGTTACAAAATTAATTACAAGCGATTGCATTGTATTAAGGATTAAAGTTTTATATTTGCGTACTTAATGGTTTTGTTGTTACATTCCTATCTCGGTTCGTCGGGAATTTGAAGCGAATTCTGCTTTGATGTTTAGCTTGACATTGTTTTATTTTTGTTTTAGGCAATGGTGACATACAGTGGTGTTTCTCACAGGTGAAAGGAACATTGGAAGACGATGTCACTGAAGGTAAATTCTTGATAAAAGTTACATATACATTTTTATGACATTTCGTCATAATTTTCACATTGTATTTTGTTCCAGCTGATATAATCTCATGTGTTGAATTCAACCATGATGGTGATCTTCTTGCAACAGGAGATAAAGGTGGTCGGGTTGTTATTTTTCAGAGGGACCCTGTTGTAAGTTGAAGAATTTGTAATAATATAAAGATTTTATATTAATCTTTACACTTTCAATAAAAAGAAATTTATGTCTCAAGTAAGAATTATATTTATGCATTAGTGTTGGATTACTGCCAGATTGTTCTGTACATTGTGTTATATCTTCCTATCTTTAGAAAATTACTACCATAAAGTAATTACAAAATTGTATTTTTATTTAGAGTAAAAATAGTATACCCCGAAGAGGTGAATACAATGTATACAGCACCTTTCAAAGTCATGAACCTGAATTCGATTACCTGAAATCATTAGAGATAGAAGAAAAAATTAACAAAATTAGGTGGTTAAAAAGGAAAAATCCAGCACATTTTTTACTTTCCACAAATGATAAAACAATTAAATTGTGGAAAGTCAGTGAACGAGATAAAAGAGTAGAAGGTTATAATACAAAAGAAGAGAATGGTACAATTCGTGATCCTGCTTGTATCACTTCCTTGAGGGTGAGTATATGATTGTTACCGGTATTAAGATTATCAAAACATAATAAATTCTAAGACTCTTTGCATCTTTTCATTCTAACTGTATGTATACACATAATTTTCTCTATTGTGTTTCTGACAAAAATATTTTCAAGAGAAGTGTGGTCAAGAAGTTCAAATATGCACATAACATGATGAGACTTTCATATTGTAATTATCATATATTGAATACTTATTTACCAGGTACCAACTATAAAACCAATGGAGTTGATGGTAGAAGCATCTCCAAGGAGAATATTTGCCAATGCGCACACCTATCATATAAACAGTATAAGTGTTAACAGTGATCAGGAAACATACCTCAGTGCTGATGATCTTAGAATTAACCTTTGGCACCTTGAAATTACAGATCAGAGTTTTAGTATCCTTTTCCTGTCATTCGATATTCATTTAATTTTGATTCTTAAATTCTGAATTATATTTGTAAATTTTTAGATAATATAAAATATATCGTTTTCCTAACAATGATATACAGATATAGTAGACATTAAGCCAACTAATATGGAGGAATTAACGGAAGTAATAACTGCCGCGGAATTTCATCCGGCAGAATGTAATGTCTTGGTATATAGTAGTAGCAAAGGAACAATTAGACTCTGTGACATGAGATCTGCTGCGCTTTGTGACCAACATAGTAAGCTCTTTGAAGAACCTGAAGATCCAACAAATAGAAGTTTCTTCTCTGAAATAATTTCGAGTATAAGCGACGTAAAACTTAGTAATTCGGGGAGATATATGATCAGTAGAGACTACCTCAGTGTGAAAGTGTGGGATTTACAAATGGAAACAAAACCCATTGAATGTTACCCTGTATGTGACAAAACTTACAATATAATTTTCGCATTATTTTCTAGGACAAAATATTTATCAATTATATTGTTGCAGGTACATGAATACCTAAGATCAAAGTTATGTTCATTATACGAAAATGATTGTATCTTTGACAAATTCGAGTGTTGCTGGAGTGGTAATGATTCTGCTATTATGACTGGATCGTATAATAATTTCTTCAGAGTATTTGATCGTGCAACCAAACGTGATCTCACATTGGAAGCAGCACGTGACATTGCCAAACCAAAAACACTTTTAAAACCACGTAAAGTAAGTATAAATTTTGAAAAAAAAAAAATTATATGCAACACTTAATTATTAAACTATAATTGATAATATGAATTATTTGCTAAAAGGTTTGTACTGGTGGTAAACGTAAAAAAGATGAAATTAGCGTCGACTGCCTTGATTTCAATAAAAAGATACTACATACTGCTTGGCATCCATCTGAAAATGTGGTAGCTGTTGCTGCTACGAATAATCTCTTCCTATTTCAAGACAAACTCTAGCACATCTGTATGCAAGTACGTTTATTCAACAGTCTATAGAATTATAATTTAATAAAAAGAATATAAATTTTATTTAAAATAATGAGAAAGATCGCTTTTCATTTTTTTAGATCATTCAACGGTATATATTGACGTGAGCAAGACACGTTCAACCGAAAAATCCCAATGGAACAAAGGATAACTGAATCATACTGACGAAAGTCGACTATTAATATGTTAATGGTTGACTGACCGAAAAGTGGTGTACGTAGCGCCGTCCACACATAAGCTCACATATTCATACACACTATGTATACACAAAACATACAGAATTGCACGTAACACCTTGTCGCGCGTATATATTGTATATAAATGCATGCAAGCAAAAATATATGCATAGCTCTCCAAACTATTGAATTCCGCTAGTTCAAATAAAATGCACGTGGAATCATTGCTCATTGACAAAGAAAAATGTACAGTTCAATCAATCAAGAGACTCGTGTTGGCGTTTATTATTGAAATATTTTAATAGAAGATTAATATATTCAGTTCGCTTGTATCATAGAAATTTTGACACCGTACAATTTAAAGTGCTTTTTAACATAGGTGATTTTTCTACGTATGGAATGGTATCTGTAAAAAAAAACTGCATCAGTAGGACCAATTGCATAGAATTAAAAAGTATCTATCGCTAGGTGCGATAAATACTTACTATCCTCAGTATATGTGCGTTGCATATAATACCTTTGCTTAATAAATTATTTGCCAAGTAAAATGCCTAGACATGCAAAATTAAAAGTAGGGATGATTATATGTGCCAATGTGATTAATCTGTAGCTTGTTATTATTTTATTCTTAATTCAGTATTGTTTTTCGTAATTTTTCATAACAATCGTGTGTTTTCGATAGATAATTAAGTCTTTCGTTAGAAAATTAATTTTTTCGTATCGAAAACTGTATCCTCCGTTTATCAAATTTGTTGCTGATTCCAGAGTAAAAATATAATATTTTGATAACTATTGATAATTGCATTTAAAGTATGCTAGCAATTACCATTATGAAAAAAGCCAAACTTTTAATTATTTTAATTAGTCGTTTGTTACCATTAGGGAGTAAAAAATAATATTAAATAATGGGCCTATATTCTCGTGTCTTTATTTCTCAAGTAAAATATATTACTAAATATTCCTATCATGGCACGTTAAAAGATAAATACTCGCCGATACGAGTCAAAGTGTGAAAAGACAAAATAAAATTCACCATCTAGTAAAAGTTGGAAGAAAAATAAACATGAATGCATTGCATACATTGAACAATAAAGAGTATGGATGTAAAGCACCATTCGTCAGTTGCCGCTTTCTAATAATAATAATAAAGAAAAGGACTCGGTCAAGAAATATAAAGAACTTATGGTAACTATAAGCGAAATACGGATTTTCTAATATTTCTTATTGACAACTTATTAACACTTATACACTTACACATATAAGCAGCGATTTCGTACACGAATAAAAATAAAATTAAAAAGTGCATTTGACGATGGTAAGCTGCGCTTGCAGAATTAATTAAATATGTGCTGAGTAACATATATTAGCGGAATATAACGTCAACATTCGTGAAATCTGTAGAAGTAAAATTCGGACGGAATCATACGTGATTGAAACATACGCGCGGATTATCAATTCAAGGTGAATAAAATCTACCAATGAAAAACAACAATAGCGAAAGTTGTTTGTAACGACACATACCTTACATCGATGACTTAAATCGTACATGATCGAGAATTAAAATTAATAATTTTCACGTGTACAAATAACAATTCTTGAATCATAGACAAATAAACGACTTTCGAGGTTTCCTAATAATACAAGCAATCATATAGTTTTGTAAAGAAAGAAATATATGATTGCTGTGTTAAAACAATCGTAGAAGATTCATTTTAACACATGAATCGTTCTTAATTTCTATTTAATTCTCTGAAAGATCTGCTATATGGCCAAAAATAGACACACGTGATATAAAAACACTATTTTAAATTATGCGCTTCGAATTGTTTCAACTAATCACGTTCTTATTCACGTAATGTAATATTTAAGAATAAGTTTTAAGGAAATTAATTAGGTATTTTATGCGTTAAATTTCAAAATTCGATTTAATTAAAAAAAAAAAAAAGAGGCATTACTACACATTATTGCGTTTCCTGCAATGTAGCTTTCATACGTGTTATTTTATTAAAAAAATTTTTAAATGGTACAAAAAAAAAGAAATACGTTTGATATGGTATGATTTAAGAAATTTAATTCTGTTAATTCCACATTTACGCGAATGCACTAACAAGAGAGAGAAAGAAAATCCGCTTTCGACTAATCGTGCAATGCATGAAACGTAATAATTGTTTGTCACGCCAGGATTATTACTCAGTATCTTTGTAATGACTTTGATATTTAGGCAATTGTGTACCCACGGAGATAGGAGACGAAAAGACGCACGAATAAACAAAAAATGCAAAATCATATATCGATAAGCTGTAATCATAATGTTTTCAAAGATATACGCGAAGGAATCGTGAAATTCGTTCTGTACTCGAACAAAACGTAGACTTATTTTTACAATTAAGTAATATTAATATTATTACTGCTATTATTATTATTAATTATTATTATTATTATTATTAATATTATTGATATTATCATAGGGACTCTGCGTAACTTGTTTGTTTTGTTAACTGCTATGCAGGTTTAGTCACGGTGATGACCACTTGATCTGTTCAATAAGCTAGGTAGCAGGATGATGTAATTGATTGCGAATTAAATGATCGTGCTGAGAGATCGTAATAAAACGATACTTGTTCGCGCAGTAAACAATTTTACGGATTATCGTTATATTCCAAAACATTCGAAGTATGCAACGAAGAGCCCGGGGCTCCCGTTAGATCCCTTTTTAATGTTCGTAAAATTTGCTAATTGCCAATGGGATCGATGAATATGAGACTACTGAAACACAGTAAATCATGAAGGAAACAGCAATGGATCCCATTGATTGAAACTAACAAACAATTGATGAATTTGTATCTACTTGCTTGATGTGAAGGAAGTGAGATGGAGGTCTCCTCGTATGTATGGATCTCTTTGAAAGACATTTTAAATTTAAAAAAAGAAAAGGGAAAAAATGCCTTACAACTGGTCGTATCATCGCTGCATCCGTGCATCGGACAATCTGAATTGACGTAAACGAAGTTTCAAACAAATTCGCTGAGCAGAGTAGAACTTTGGCACGCAGGACCTGTCTCGTTGTGATATAATAAACGTCATTGTATTACTAGCCGAATGTCGAAGCTCTATTTTTATTAAGGTATCATGTATTATTAGTCCATACTTAGCGTTTTTATAGCGAATACGTAAAAAGTCTTTTTACCTGTCTTGCGTGAGGTACGATAAAATGGAATTACAATAGCGAGACTCGCGATGTTTGAATAATATTTCATTTACACTAAGTTCTCGCCAATCGTCGATCAACTAGTTCTTAACTTATCGCGCGAAACACACTTTCCTCGATTATTATCCTACGATTCATTTCTTCTCGCTAATACACGCAATTAGGTAAAAAGAACGATTATGGTATCCATTGTCGAATTAAGAAGAATCGTGCCATAGAATGTTATGCGTAAAGAATATTTTTACCGTTTGTCTTATCTACATTGTACACTTCATCATCTTTTCAGCGGGAGAAATCGAGGAAAGCAGTCGAATTCTTTTCGGGATTCAAAATTACTTACGTCTGTTTGCACGGTACAGATTTTTACGAGAAATTTACGCGACGAAAAAAATATAAACGATCATGAAAACTAATGTAAAACGAAAGCGTAAGGCATATATTAGGTAGCGAGAAGAATGATGTAAAGCATAAATGAGAATAATGAGCAAAACTGTCGAAATCGAGTAATAATAATTTCCACTCCTGATTTTGACTCTACACCATTCAACCTGATCGTAATTGTTTCTGAAAAAAAAAAAATGCTCGAAACGGATCTTGAAGATATTCGACTACCTATCACCATTATATTCGCATATCTTCGAGATCATCGAGTTTATTTTGTACTGTATAATGTGCCTCAAAAAAATGCCCGGCGTTCCCAAGCGAGCGAATGGCAGTTCAAATTCAAGATAGAGATTGATTTGTTTACAAAAAAAAAAAAAAAAAAAAAAAGAAAAAGG